TTTTGTTTTAATAGAATAAATATTTACTTCAGTGAAAAGAAATCATTTTAAGTAAATCTATTTACTTCGTTGAAAAAGATTTTTGTCAGTATACAAAAAATCAGAAATTGCGTAAAATCGAGATACAACCTCGCAAAAAGGATCAGTCGATTTGCTATTACAATCAAGACAAGATACATTATTGCATTTACGGCACATGTAAAATTCGAAGAATAGTACCGTCGTTGCGTTTCTTGATTCTTTAGCGAGGTTTTTTTTTCCAATTACGAGAGAACAGAACACGTAACGTTATGAATATAAGAAAATATGCGTAATGTGGTGAGGAGCCGATATCGCGATAAAAAGGTAAACTTACCGATGTGCTTGCTCTCGTTGAAAGCTTCTGGAATTTTTCTCGTAAGGATGGCGTAGATAGTACACACAATTATTAATATTATGGGATATGTAAATGCGATCATATAGCTGGTGTCGATGTAGTTGTTGCATACGAGCAGATTGTCTTCCATCGTGGGATAGTGATGCATCGCTCTCGCGGGATCGATAATCATCCAAACTATGTTAATTAAGATCTGCACGGATACCAGTCCGGTGCAGATAATAAGTTGCGACCGCGGTGATATGAAGGACGGCCTCTTTGCACTCCCGGCGTTGAAGATTCTTGAGATTCGATTGGTCTTCGTTAATAAAGCTGCGTATACTACCGTGAAGCAGAAGCCCGCGGCGAATCTGTCAGCAGAGACGAAGCTGTATCTCCATTTTTCTCAACAAGCATTCCATTAACATGGGATGCTCTCTGCGAGCAACTCGTACTTGTATAATTCTGATTCTAGGAAGATACAGTTAGCTTAACTTTCATTATTTTTCCCTAAGCTTTTTACCTCCGTTTCCGATACTGTTCGAGGGAAGTTTTTTACACTCTCACTGTACCTCTGATAAATTGTATTAAAAAAAGCAGGAGAATAAGTTGGAAAGTTATTAGATTCTTCAACCATGTAAAACTAGTAAAACTGCCACTCTTACTTACAAGACAGCATTGATCGTACGCGAAAAATGTAATTTACCGACTAACTGTAACGGTCTGGCAGGAACAGAGAGATTAATGCTGTCGTGCGGGAACTCGTAGAATACATCCAAAAAGATTCATTGGTTTTTTTTGTTACCTTTGGATACCGCAGACAACGTGCGTGGGTTTGAATATCAGAGTGAATGTGACGAGGTAACAGAGTAGAATTCCCGAGAGAAGCACGTAAGATAGCTCTCGTCCAGACGCGCGCACGACAGGCGTGTCGTTGTGTTTGAGGAAAACGCCGCAAACAAATAACGTCACCTGTTTTTATCGCACAGAACATATACGAGCAATCAAGTAAACGGCTTGGCATAAAGTACGTCATACGATTATTGCATTCTGAGGTGTAATCGAAATGTAAGCTGTTGCATTTCTCCATTTTGCAGGAAATTTATAATTCTTACACCAAGTGTACGAGAAATACCTACCAAAATTCCCGTGGCGGAGAAAGACATTGCGCCTATTGCCCATCCACTTTCCGGACGTAGAAACTCTTCCGGAACTTCCTGGCACATCGAATGCGTTTCGTCTGGCAACGTACCTCGTTTGCACTGACTGCACTGTGTCTCATCCTTGGGATCCCGTATCTGTTCGAGCAACAGAATTACATTCTCAAGACACAAAGTTGCTGAACCCGATATTACCCAATAAATACCAAGTAACAGTTACACAACACAAATATTACAAACAATAAAATTCACGAGGCTCTCACGTGAAATCACAATTCGAAGGAAGAAAGGAAGAGCCAAGGCAGGATCCCAGATAACATGCTTCTCTAAAAGACATCTTCAAGACTTCTTTAAGACGTCTTTAAGATATCTTTTAGACGTGTATGTCTAAAAGACGTCTAAAAGACGTGTTAAAGACATCTTGAAGATGTCTTTTAGACATGCATGTTATCTGGGATGTTAGTATCTAAATGATTTTAATTTTTTAATTTATTGCGAAAAATTTACAAATATTACAACTTGCCACTCAACAATACAAACGTAATATAACGCGTTACATTGCCGAGTACAAAATTGTAATATCGATGTTACTGTTAGTTAATGCGCGCTGGGTGGTAATTCAGTTTGTACATTTGTATAATTTATATATAATTTAATTATCTTCCTCTTTGCATCAATTTCACGCGCCGCGATTACCTACGCGTTCTCATATTTCTTTTTTATCCCCGAGATATAAGATTATTTCGCGTCGCGTTCAAGTACTATTCGTTATCATTCGTAAAGGAATCTTATTACCTTTTCCCATCTAACGCGAAACGACGTAAAGAAATTATAAAAAGATAGGAGTGTAACAGCGAACGAAATCATTCGACACGCTATAAAAGAAGTCGCAGAAATATATTTTACATCTGATATGCGTTCAACAAGAACTGCTGACACAAGCAATATACAGGGTAAGTCATTTTAATCGACGCACGCAAATATCTCTTCGATTCGGGGAAAGGGGCTAGGAAAAAATGACTCACCCTGTATGATACTTTCCAAAACCTATTATTCCGCAAAATATTAATTAAATAAACACGCGTAACGGTATGTTTTCATTATTGCGACCCGAGGATATATATTGTCTCCGTTAAAAATGAAAGAGCAGGTGAAATATGAAATCTAGCGGGAGGTTAATTATCTCAACAACACGTCGTTAACGTACCTGGTATTGAGTGCAATTAAAGCAATGCCAGCAGCATCTCTCACTCTCGACATATTTCTTTGCCTGACCGACCTCACAAGGCAAGGAGCACACGCTTTCGGGTGGTTGAGGATGTCCGAGTTTAAATTGGATTTCTATAACAAATACATGTGCAGACGATGTAGAGATGTAGTGGACAGAACACAGGAACTGTATCCAATAGAATATTGTCAAGCAGAACGGACACGTCCAACCACGCGATGGAGACGCACCTCATAACATGAAAATGTACGAGCTTACCCGACATGTTTAGTCGCAGCTCGCCTTCCAAATATTTGCCCACGCGAATCCACTTGTACTTGCCCGACTCGGTTTGCTTGAAGTGTATGATGTTGTACCGCGCTGGTCCGTCGCCGTTCTTGTCGAATCTAAATTTGTCTCCGCTTAGACCTTAAACGTAGTCGTTCGATCGCCTATGAGTACCATGAAAACTTGATCGAGACGTATAAGCAGCTAATCACGGTAAAATTGTGGGAGCGCATCTATCGTCACTTTTATGCCATTTTATTTCTCGGCGAAAGCGCCGAGTGGATAAAAACACACGTCGTATCGATTTGCAATATAAATTCCGACGGTTAGACTCGCACTTGAAAACCTATTCTAAGGAAACGCTTTGTCAGCTTACCCTCGAAATCCACCTTGCGCAGGTACTGCAAAAGCGTTGTTCCTTTCGTCGGTTTCATTTCATCGCACAATCCCACCTTTCCGTGGCAAAGGTCGTGATGCATATCTCTGAGAAAAAGAGGAATAGCATATTTTGTTTTTGGAATTTTGTCAACGCATATACGAGACTTTTCGGAAAATCGTCCCATCTGTCACAGAGAAAGTTCCAATTACCGAAAAGCGTAAGCGAATGCCATTACTGCGTCGGAAACGAATTGCAGTTGATCCTCGAAAGCCGTATTCTGCTTGGTGAGACGTTCCTTTGTCGTGCAATTTTTTGTATAATTTGCGTTATAGCGTGTCCGGGGCGCGTTTGGGTATCGGCATTTGAAATGGTCTTCCCAAAATTCTGAAATCAACAGGAGAACTTGGTACCCTTGGGAAAATTTACTTTAAATTCAATTAAAGTGTTTAAAAGGAATCTTTCAAATATAAGAGTTCACTTAAGAAATTTTTGAGTAATTTCGGACACTCAAAGTAATTTTTGGACATCCAAGCCATATCACAAACCTTTCGCATTTCTTAAAGTTTTCTTGTAAATTCGTAAAGTAAGTTTCAAGTTTACTTTAAATAAAAGTTTCAAGTGCGCAAATTTACTTTCCATATTTCTTATTTTTCTAAAGTAACATTTGAAGGTTTTCTAAGGTATATTTTCCTTATCAGCGATTGATTCGGCACAACTTAGCGAAACGACGTTGCCACTGACGAGAGAATACCTGCGATTTGAAGCGAATATTGTACTCTTTCATCTCAACTAGAAAGAACTACGCAACACGTAAGATATGTCAAAGTACACCGCAAGCAAAATTACTTGGAGCATTTCGCTCGGCAGTTGGCGATATAGCGAACACGTTAGTAGAGATGTTAGCTGTCAGTCGACTTGACGGGATCGCGTTTGTGTAAGTAAAAGTTTGTCGGTGTATATTGGCAGGTAAGAGTGAACTTCTCGCTAACAACTGCAAGTGTAAGTTCGGACGCATATGCACATGTATGTATGCACATTACGGTTGCTGTGCAAGCTAGAATTCGCCAAGTTTTACTCTTATCCTAGATCCGGGATCCTTTGGCCGGTCTCTTACCGACGAACCACGGGTTCCTCCGATTGTTCTCGACGGTCAAGCTGAGGAAGTACTCTTCGAAACCTTTAACGGGATTCGCCTGAGGTTGGACAGATAGAGTGCCCTCAACTTCCGGCTCGTTACCGTTGCTCACTAATCCTCTTGCGCTCCAGCCATCGCTTCCGATCCAGGAAAAAACGCCGGTCGCCTTGCGACGCCTGACCGCCCTCATGACCCCGGCGACTTCTTGGTCGGAGCCGAAGATAATGCAACCTGCGGCAGTACAAGTTGAGGAAATCCCCCCGTGGAAATTGCGCCTGTAAAGGTGTCGTGTGCGCGCGCGGCACAGGCGCTCTTTCATCTCGCGCCCTTTATTATCGCGATAAAGGAATCTTCGCCATCTGATCTTATTTTGTCGCACGACCCGTCGGCATCGCGAAAATTCGTTCCCGCGAAATGAAAGAGGCTCGAGCTTTTATTGGAAAGGCGCCAATGAAACGTGTCGCTTCGTGTCGCGCTCGGCGATTCTCGTGGGAATCAAGATTATACAGGCGGAAATCGATGAGGGTGTTAAAAGGATCGAACGTAAGGTCGACCGTACAAAATCGAAAACGGTTTGGTTACAAAAGGGTCTGCACGAGGAAATTCTTCATAAGATAGATGTTTATCGCGAGATACTTTTTCCTCGCCGGAGTATACCTAGCAGATACGGAGTATAGTGAAGCTCAAACAATCAGATATATTTCCTTGCCGAGGTCATATATACTTTTCTCGGATAAAATTGCTATTTTAAATTCGAATCGACGTGAAAGAGGTGAGGGTACGCGTTTGAGAAAAAAATCTCAAGATATACATTTGTCTTCTCGATGTAGCGCGCTTTAACATGGTATGTTTTAACAGCTGACAGAATTTTTGTCGAAGAGATATTGAAAAAAAATGCTTCATTTAACCGACCACTTAAATTTTGCTCATTAATCATAACAAAAATGATTAAACGTGTAAAAATCTTGCATATTATCCCGTTTGAAAATGTAATTACTTCCGTTACAGTAATATACATTGTATACCCAGTTTGTTGCTTGTGAAATGTTCCGGTTTCTATACATCCCTCCTCTTTCTCTCTTTCTCCTTCTTACCGTATACATATACCTCTCTTGACCTAATAATATCTCACACAGAGAAAGAAGGTATTCTCGAGCGAGATCAGTAAGTGTATTAACGAGCCATTTAATCTCGTAACGTTGGCTCTTGAAAAAAATATTTGTTTGAGAAAGAAAATGCGAATTATTTATAAAAAAATGTTGGTCGAAAGTTATTCAAGTATGAAGGATTCTAAAACTTGCCGTCTCGGGAGGGGACCTTAAGGTTCAGGAGCGCGTTGAATGGATTAAATGGATGAAATATTTATTCGTCCAAGGTAGCAAAGAAAGCACGCGTCGCTCATCAGACGGAGTCGCTAAATTCTGTTTCCCTGAGACGAGATTGCCGTTCCAACGTAGATAGAGAGCGTTATGCCATTAATTATACTTCTTCTTTATGTACATATGCGGGCAGAGCGTACGCGGAAAAAAGTTATCTGACAACACCATAATTTTTATGCGCCTTACAGTCGTTTTCACTTTGCCCCATTTCTCATTTCGCCGCCACGGAATAAACGCTCGCTCATTTCTCTGTCATCCGCGTCTGTCATCTTGCATATGATTTTTCTCGCGAAGCGTACAGTTGTACCGAAGCACTCGTAATATTTTAATAACGACACGTATAAATACAGTACGGTTTAAATTTTATTTATCTTACCCCTCTCGTGTAACGTAAGATAATATTTAAATAAGTTCATTACAAAATTGATATTCGTCATAATTTGATCGCAATTCTCTCGTCACATGTTATTTTACTTTTTATCGGAAATCTATAAATACTGGTATCGTAATCGAGGGGTAGCTTGATCCGTCGGTTAAAATAAAATGCAAATGCCAGTGGTACATTTTCTGGCAATGAGAACGAAATTATTTAAAGTAATACTGAGATTAAAACAGAGTAATATTTTCGGTATCGAAGTAGTTTGCAAATCATTTCCTTAATAGACTACTCGGAGACGCGCGTGCACAAATATTCAGTGAAAATTGTAATCCACCACGCTTGTTTAACTTGTGAAGAAAGCCAGGAATTTAAGGTTCGCTCGTTTTACTTGGAAGAAGTCTTCGCAGGAAGAAGTGGAGTTAGGTGAGTTGTGCAAATTTTCAACAAGTTTTGCATTGCATCTGACACAGTCTAGAGTGAGTCGCGTTTCCTATTTCGATAATGAGTCCATTTCGTCACTCTGAAGCGGCTCAAGTAAAGTCGGAGTCTTTGTTGCATTCAGTATCGATACGATACTATTTCGTAATTGTATCTTTCCCGCCCTCGAGGTTCGTTTGTATCTTAAGATAATTTATGCTGCCTGGAAGAGCGGTGTGTCGTGCGAATGCTCAGACCAACGGAACGAGGGCGTGGCAATAATTTTTATATAAATTCTTTTTAATGACATTTAATCCCATCGAATTATCGAAGAAATGTCAGCTAGGATTTCACGGCTTATCCACAGGTCGGTATATGTATATCGGATTTACAATTTAGGAGAGAACAGAGTGAGAGAGAATGGGAGAGAATTTATCTTGGATTAAAGTCTAAGCTACAATGTGTTTTTTTTTGCGACTAGAAACATTCTAGTTTATATAAGTAAATCGAACGCTTAAAAAATTTGTCGACAACGAACGATTGTACAATGTTTAATGTGCATTTATTGGCTATAAAATAGAATGTCTCTAGAAGCAAATAGCACATTGTAGATTAGGTTTAATACCTCAAGTTGTAAGCGCATCCTAAACCGAAGAGCGTACATTATGATACATACGTGTAGGTACACACATGCGATGTGTTGTTATATATGTGTGCGCAAACAAAATATGGGCATTGTTTTTTTGAGCAATTGGGACAATAAAAGGAAAAGAGAAGAATCGTTGCGTATGTTTCTACAATTTGCCTGGTAAACAAAGCTGGTCTGGTTTATTAAATCTTTATTTTTACCTCTTGCTCGTGGTTTTGTCAGCAACTTTGAAACTATGTCGTCGTAGGCGAACTCCTTGGCGACTCCAGAGTCCTTCACCAACTTTTCTTTGACGGCGATACATATGTTATATCTCCCTAGTAGTTCCTCGAGTTCCTCGAAAGCCTGCAACGCAGAGAGGTAGAAAGGGATGCATTTTCTCGAAGATGTTTCCAACAATGCATCGCATCTAATGCGGGCCCGTTCGTGGCCTTCATCGAGCAGCGCACGTAGTGCTTTGAGGTCTTTTAGAAGAAAGATGGGCGTAGCAAAGCATGAATAGAAGGGCGGCGAAGGAAATGTACCTTAATGGAAGAGTAGAGACTTAAATAGAACATCCACAACGATTCCTTCCTTTTGACAGGCAGTACAAAAAAAATCATGATTTAAATAACAGAGATCGCAGCGTTGAGACCTGAATCTTAGAGGAGAATCGTTGTAAATGTTGTCCTATGCTCGGAAACAGCGCGACCGTAGTAAAAGTTCCTCATCAGTCGGGTCAATAGATATCTTAAATAATATTTGCTGTATTTAAACTTTAAGGCCGGTATTCATACTCAAATCTTATATTCAAGGCCGTTTTAGGATTATCTTTAGGCCTGTTCTTTATTACTGCACTACTGAACTGGTGCAATAAGTTAAAATGAAACAAATAGATTACCTCTCATTCCAACTCATTGCACCAGTGTGCACTAGTTCAGGAGTGCAGCAATAAAAAACAGACCCTTTGGATCTCCGTAGCCAATGAAATGTTCCATACTCTTGCAAAAAATTTACTTTAAATGAAATGAAAGTTTTGCAAAGTAATCTCTCAAATCTAAGCGTTTACTTAAAGAAGTTAAAGGTTTACTTAAGAAATTTAGGAGTAATTTTGTACACTCAAAGTAATTTTTAAATAGCCAAGCCTTTTTATAATTCTTGTGCAAGTTTTAAGTTTGCTTTGAGTAAAAGTTTAAAGTATCCAAATCTACTTTTCATATTCCTTATGTTTCTAAAGTAAAATTTTAAGGTTTTCTAAGGTACATTTTCCCATACAGCGTCTACAAATCAATACGAGACGAGAGAGGTTTTGATTGTACGATCTGACTATGAATACCAGCCTAAGCATTAACACTCGATCATCATATCTATACTAAAATGGTGGTCACGATCTTCCTATGCTATCTGTATGTATCTTTCGATAAATAACAATAGAATATCGCTTTGTGATGATTGAGAAACGGTGAGATTTAGTCAAATTTGCGTTCTCGAGATTGTTTCACTCTATTGATCGCGAAATGAATCACGCAATTGAAATTCCACATTGAGGTTCGATGGTTAGCTGGAAAAACTCTGTTACTTTGTCGAACAAATGGATATTTGTAACAAAAATCCCCATTTGTTCCACGTTCCTGGCTTTCGACTACTCGTTGAAAAATGTTCCCTTCGTGCCACAAAATTATATATATATGTATATATATGTGTTCTCGTATCGATCCGTTCCTCCTAGACCGTTCCTCTCTATGCACATTTTTCGTATGCGATTCGTATGTCGCGCCGAGATCGCTGATTTCCAATCCCATCGTGAATGGTATTATCGATTGGTCGCGTCATACAGAAAAATGTAGTTACATACGAATATGGTTTCCCTTTTCCCGTATTTTTATCCACTTCCCAAGGTTTCACGCAACAATGATTTTGCAACAATACACAAAATAAAAATGTTTGCCTTGCGTCCACTTTACAAAGTGATTTAATTCTATTACTGCGCAGCAATTAAATAAGTATAATAGCTTTAATTGCTGAAATTATGTCAGAGCATTTTTTTAATCTCCCGCGTTATTAACGTTTCTGTAATATTTCTTTCATATAAAACAACAGCGGTAAAGTACAACTATTTATGTTAACGTGCACAACAAAAGGTGTGGGTTGAGCTTAGTATCGAGTCCAGTGTGCATGAATTACTCTCCGGTCAATACGGATCATTGTTCCACGAGTCGCGATAAATTAGCAGTTAAATTACCTGGCTGGAGGGTGGTTTCAAATTCCTACGTACATATATTCGAAGCGCGGTCCTTCCTTTATTACTATAGAGCGCTCTACGCGCTATAATGGTCCTTGTTTCGACTCTTGCGCGAGAATTGAATTTGATACGTACAAAGGCCAATCTCCGCTAATATATTAGAAGATTTATCAGGTAAAGAGACGCGACGTGAAGAACGTTCGAATTCGAAATCTTTATTGCTAAGCATTTATCAAATTTATTCACATACAATGAATAATATTGCGCGCGAAACTCATGGCATTGCGAGTTGGAGATAACATTCCGTATTGTGCAAGGAGATATAAAACGACTCGAGAAACTTTTATGTATAAACGTAGCTTTGACCGCGCCACATTTACTTAATGAGTTTTGTAGCAGGATTTCCCGGTCTTTAAAACGATAAAAAGTAGGAAGAAATAATGTGATAAGCAAGAAGTATGGTTGATTCTAAAAATATGGAAGAATTTAAATATTTCACATTATATACGAAGGACATCGCACTGTTTTAGGCCAAAAGAAAGAATCATGGAAGAATAAGTGCGATATCTCGAGGGAATAGCGCAGTTTAGGGAGAGGTTATGCGGGTTTTTTGATGCTCTTAAATATTTATCAGGCTAAAGATCCTCTCGTATTCGGAGCTTTCCAGTATCTTTATTTTCCATATACATTTACGGTCGTCGTGTTTCGCGGATTTTGTATACGTCGTTACGTATTTTTGTCACCTTTTTGCCAAGTAATTAAAAAATTTCCCACAGGCGGAGAGAAGGAAAGTGATCGTTTTTCTCATCATTCAAAAATAATGTTTCAAGCAAATACAATTTCGCAAATGCGTCCCTTGAATCTTTTAGATATCAGATGTCGAGATCTATTTTTATTTCGACTTGTTTAAGACTTCGGATGCCGAATTCTATCCCTCGCGCGCGGACGTGTCTTCGGGAATAATTTACGATTGCTTTAATGCGCAAAAATACTGCGTGGAATCGTCTCTTCAGTTTTTAGAGTATCCCACGAAGCCGCATCCGGCACACTCGAGTAACTTTCGTCTAATCTCTTAGTCCCCGGCATGCCGATACCGTGGACCATGCGAGATCGATCGTTATGTAGTCGGCGTATATTTCGCGAGGAATCTAATTATGGTATGAACGTAGTGCTCCGTTTTTCCCTCGTCTCTCGCCCGAAGAGCAGAATATTGTGGTGTAAATTCTATCAAGCGCACGCGATTTGACACGTACGGGACGGCGTATATGATAGGCGGTAATGAAATTCTGATCGGTTGGGTAACAGGGGTGCAGTCTTTTCTTTTAATCGGTGTCGCCAGCCATTGCGGCCTTACGAGAGGTAATAGATCGAAATGCCATTTCTCTGTACCATCAAAATGTGGCCGCGTGTTAACTATGTCGCTCATACGTGTCGCGTATGTATGTTCGCGAAATATTAATTTAATGTGGACACATCCATCATCGGGTTTTGCCTGCAGGTGCGACGATTGTGTGATTAATGCCACGATCACGCAAATGAATGAAATTTGAAATCACGCCTAGAATTATCGGCTGCAGCGATATGATTGCATTCCTGAGAGTGTTGGATCTCTCGCTCCGGCTCAAAATGGGATCTATTTTTAACATTATAATCTCTGTGTCCTCAACTAACATATTAATTAAAGTAATCGATAATACCTTAATGAATGGAAGCATTATGGATAACTAGATTTGAAAGATGATTGTTTAAATTCGCGTCACGTATCTGTGCGCATCGTATGCGCATATTCGCGTATGCGCTTATATAACGGAATCAATTTTCTACTCATATAACAGAATCAATTTTCTACTCATAAATATCAATGTCTCGTATCGCATTATTAGCCATCGCTCGCTTTTCTTTTTTACGTGACGCGTACTTCTAGCTTAATCGCGCGCTTACGTTCGTGACGGTGACGTTATAAGTATGTTATAAATGTTTATAACTCGCTACATTAACGTAATATATTAATTATAATTTGCATATTTAATATCTCAACTGTCTCAATGTTAATTCCCTAAAATTAGGAAATGAAGTTTAGCCTATTACACACGTTTTTTCTTTCAAATTTTTATATCCCGAGAGAGATGAAATTACGCGATTTTAATAGATAAAGAGTCGGAATCGCCATCTATTTTCCAATTTAATTACACTTCCGTGACTTATTGAAAAACGCGCGAGAAAAGTTTTTAATTTATTAGAGTCGCGTAATTTTTTCCCCACTTTTTCGTCGACACGTAAAAATTTGTGCGACAAGTCAAAGGTAATAGATTAATGCGCATTATTAATTAGTATAGGGTAAATTTTATTCGCAAAATATAATAAATGCTAGATTTTAACACAGCTCGTGATAATGGCTCGTTTATCAACACAATTTGAAATGTACGGAACACATTCAGCGTACATTTATTGTACATATATAGCGCAATACGAAATATATTGAAATTTGCGAGCAGCACAACAGAAACCTCTCTCATTATAACGAAAGTATTATACATAATGAAACAATGATTTATAATGCTAATTCCCTATCGCTTCAATTCAACCGTACTTCAAGGGACTAAATCGCGCGGAATATCTGCTTCGGTCGTCACGCTTGCTCGGTACGATTCGTTAATCGCGGGAAAATTAATCAATCGCGCGAGATAATCGATCGCTGACTGTGCTAGCGAACGATCGATACGTAGCGATGTATCGAGCGAGAGCAAACGGGGAGGAACCGCGGCCTCTTCTTCTTTCTCCAATTTCTCAAAGAACCACAGTACCACGCTTTAACGGAATGGCTTATCTGCTAGCGTGAATGTTGCTACCCGAATTGTAACGCGGCGGCTTGTGCATACAAACGTTTGTTTTTGTAACGGCACTGAAGGCGCGCAGTGTACGTGTATACACAAGAGTCACCGTGTTGGCGTTCGCAGCGCGAGACTCGAACAGAGCAAGTTACAATGCAGATCGCTCTGTGTACGCGTTAAGCTGGAAAGAACACGAAGAAACTTGAGTAGTGAGATTTAAGACTTAAGAATTTCAACCAATCGGAATTTTCAGCATTGCTTGAGTTTCAAATGGCTTCCTGCTCAAGACTTAA